CCACTAGGGCCCCAGTGGCCATCCCTGATGACATCACCACAGACCCACCGCTAGGCCCCCTAGGGCGATCCCTGATGACATCACCACAGACCCCCCTCCCCACTAGGGCCCCAGTGGCCATCCCTGATGACATCACCACAGACTCCCCCCACTAGGGCCCCTAGTGACCCCTGATGACATCACCACAGAGCCTAACCCTAACCCTAACCGCTAGGGCCTGTATGGTGATTCCTGATGACATCATCACAACCCCACCGGTCAAGCCTCGGTGGCGATCCCCACTGGCAAGCTGGGACTCGTGCGGAAGGGGAAAAACAAACAAAAGAACAAACAGGTCTCGTATTCCCAGAGCCAGGGCTGGAATTCAATAATTGATCCCAGATCCCCCTCCCACACTCATGCTGCAGAGTTCCTGGATCCGGCCCTCTCCCGAGGATTTAATCAGGAAGCACAGGGAAACGCAAACCTTTTCCCCGACCGGTCTGCTCCTTGGTGAACTGACTCCGAAACCCATTATTAATTCCTTCTGTTTATCTGCCCTCCGCACTGCAACCCCCCACCCCCGGCACACAGAAATGGAACAGTCCGGGCCCTGTTCACTGTGGGAGGACAATACCAAGTGATGGGAGACGCAGGGGGGACAAGTGAGGACTGGGGGCGATCCGGGGACCGGACAGACAGAGGGACAGGCAAGCCGGCAGTCGGGATACAGCTCCCGGCCCTCTCTCCTCCTCACGCCGGAGCTGGGGTGGCACGGGACAGAGAGAGGGGGCGTAGGGCTGCGCCCCCACCTCCTTCACATCTTGCGTATGACCAGGACGGTGGTGAGCACCCCGGCCAGGAACACGCCCACCGTCTGCCAGGTGGGGGTGCCGAAGTAGGACCTGATCCCTTCCTGAAAGAGCAGGAGAGAGGATTCTGCGATTAGACGCTTCCTTACAATAATAATAATACAGTGTGTGATCTCCTGTCCCAGCCTGAGGAACAGACAGTGAGCCTGTCTCTCAATAATAATAATACAGTGTGTGATCTCCTGT